GCCGGGAGTCTCAAAACCGCGAGCGGTGTGAGCTGGGCGCCCGGGTGTCGACGCGGAAGCCGACACGCCGGGAGTCTCATGACGAAAAGTGTTGTGAGCTGGCCGCCCGGTTGTCGATGCAAGAGCAGACACGCCGGGTGTCTCAAGACCGCGAACGGTGTGAGCTGGGCGCCCGGGTGTCCATGCAAAATCGGACACGCCGGGAGTCTCACAACGAAGAGTAAAAGTGTTATGAGCTGGCCGCCCGGTTGTCGATGCGAGAGCAGACACGCCGGGAGTCTCAACGCCGCGAACGGTGTGAGCTGGGCTCCCGGGTGTCCATGCAAAATCGGACACGCCGGGAGTCTCACAACGGAGAGTGTTATCAGGAAGAAAAGGTGGTGGAGGGCCACCGAGAGGTCGACAGAAAAGCGCCTGTCCCCGGAGCCCGTGCGAGCCTCCGGGAGGCCCGGAGGCGGCTTTGGCGGCTCGATCTCGTGGATTGTGTTTTCGGTGCGGCCGGCGGAGAGTAGAAATTTTTTTACCACCGCCGGCCGTAGCCGTTTCCCTGTGTCTGAGGCGGCCGCTGCCGTTCGCTGCAGTGCCGGTGTATGTTTCCTGGCTGGTCGCATCGAAAACAACGGGGCGTGGCCCACCCGTTGGCTTCGTGCGGTGTCCCGCTCTTTTTTGCCTCTCCCAAGCTCCGCGTTACCGGTCCAGACGACAAGAGCTCATCTTGACCAATGGAGGGGCTGTAGCGTTGTGAATGCGTGCCTTCATAACCGCTGCACCTCCGTGATTCGTATGATCGAGGATATAGGGCTCGTGATTCGTATGCACGAGGATCTGGGGTTCGGGGAACGGGCGCCTGAGTGGAATCGTCTTGTTCTCTCTCGACTCTATGTACACGTGCGTTTCCAGACCACGCAAATGATGGTTCCAGAGTCATGTTTTGCGGTGGAGGGGTGCGGTATCTTAGTTCCGCGAGGATGTTGGCCTGGATGGTGATCGCCTCCCGTGCCATCTCGTCAAAATTCGTAAAGGTACGTCCCCTGAGATGGGGATGGAAACGCGGGTGGCTCTGGCGGACGGCACGTTGTACTTTCTCCGCGTCCGGTGCCGCGGCGTCGGCGATATCATACAGGCCCTGGAGAGCCCTTACAAACTCAATAAGTGACTCTTCCGGGTGCTGTGTGCGCGCGCGCAGCTCGTCCTTAATCCGCACGCTGTAATCCGGAGGCAGGAACTCCGTCCTAAATCGTGCCTCAAAATCTGACATACTTGCGAATTTAGTTTGTCTTTGCCTCCACAGTGCTGCACTGTCTGTCAGTGCAACCGGCAAAAGGCGGGTGAGGATGCTTTCGTCGTCAATTCCCGACGCAGCTTGGTAGTCCCGCAGTTCCGAGACGAACATCGCGACCGACTTTCTATCTGCGTACCCCGAAAAAACCGGAGCGCTAAGCGAGAGCCTTAGGAGGTTCCTGGGGGGCGTGCTTCCAGCAGGAGTGGGGCTTGAGCGCATCATCTGCTCTCGTTGTATGTTGCGAAGCATGGTCATGGCCACTCTTAGTTCTGCTAGACCACCCTCTGATGATGCGCCTGCCAGGACTGAGACTGCAGGCTTGGCGTCTGGTTTTATGTCGCTGGCGGCGTTATCCGCGAGTGCACCGAGCGTCAAAAGGTCGTCCTCACTCACGTTTTCGTCGGCGTCCTCTTTAGACGGCATCGTGCTTTAGTGGAGGCTTCCGCAGGTCGATGAACTTAGGCTTGCGAAGAAACGCCCTCTCAACTGTGGGCAAACTCAGGAACGCAAAATTGACTATGTAAAACGTAATAACGAACCCAGTTTGCTGCCATCCTCCCAGACGAGCAGCATATCACGTCTGGGCGCCAGTGTGGGATTCCCTTGCTGCTACCCGTCTCGGAGAATGACACAGCACACTGGTTAAACAACACGTGAACATTTAATGACCGCTATCGCCTGCGCCGCGATCCCAACAGCCTCCGCGCATCCGCTGCGACGACCTTTTATCAGCGGCGCAGCGCCGCTCGGGTGGCCAGTTGCCCTTGTCCCCCTCTTGGTCAAGATGACCACTTATGATTGTCGGAGGGGCAGCCTGGGCCAACCGCTTGGAATCGCCAGGTTTCCCACAAACGTCACGCATGGATCATTGCATAACACATCAACGCATAGCTCACCGAACGTACGACGTTAGGACTTCGCGCATGACATCATGCGTCATATGCAGCGATAAACCTGGTAAACGTCCTCCCCTCGTAACTATATATACTTCAGCTATACTTTGTTGCACCATAGCCTCCTCTATACTTACAAAGCCTGAAAGTTCGAGGACAAGGCCATAGAGTGCCCGGTCGCAGATTTGGAGCGCGAGGATCTGGTAGCACAGAGCATTTCTCGGGGAGTCTGGTATTCAGCGCACAGCTTTTGCAGCGGCGAAGACTCGAAACTTGGTTTTCAAACCCGACGAGAAAAAAAGCGGCAGCCCGAGAAACGCGAGAAGCACAAGTGGACATTCAATCGCTCGGAACAAGTGTGTTTCGGCGTCTCGTCGCAGCGGGGCGCCCGTTACACGACTCTTGTCTGCCGCTCTACCTTTTCACTTTCGGCGGCCGCATCTCGTGGCGATCTGCCAGGCTTTGTCAGTATAAAGGAGGCAATGGTTTCACCTAAAGTCCAGACGCGGCCGACGGTACGATCTGATGGGACTAATCAGGCTAACGTTACTGGATCGGAGAAGTTGACAAGCTCCGAGAAAAAAGTGACGCGTTGCCATTCACTGCCTCGTAGCGGCGCTCGTGTCCAAGCCCGCCCGACCCGTTCGGTCTGACTGGCTTCGGTAACCGTGGACGCGCCGTGAAACATCGTTTTTGAGTGAGTTCACAAAGTGTATTACTAAGCACTGTTGGCAGTGTAATAACGTCCGGATTAAGACAACATTTCCTGGGACTTTTGAGGAAAATGTAGGCCCGCGGGGCCTTCTTAGTTTTGGCAGTTTTCCGACATTCGGCACCAAGACAAGCAGCTCGGAGAAATGGCTGCGTTATCGTTCGTGCTTTCCGGCACATGGACCGTTGTGTTTTGGTCTTTTGCGCACTAAAATACTGGCAACTTCCCTCTGCTGCTGTTCTGTGTCTGTGTCAGAAGTTCAAGCGTAAACTGCTGCATACATACCAAAGCCGCAGTAGGAACGAATGACAATTTGAAGACGTCTTCGTCATTCGAAAGAATCGGGCTGTTTTTGTATTTGTATTCGGCTACGTTGAGGCCTGCTACTGGTGGAAACAACTGAGTTATTCCTCTCGTGTGTTCTTTACCTGAGTGACAACCTCGCTCCCTTGCGTGTGCGTGCCATTTCGAAGGTGTCTGAGTAAGAATTTCAAGACATTACTTCCGATCAGCTGATCAGCGCGGATTCGTGCGTGTATATTTGAAGATTTACGTGTGAACGTGCGGTAGATATAAGAAGCGTTGTTTTACAGTACCTGCTACAGCTTCGCGGCAACAGTGCACGAATTGTGAGATACCCTCGTTGACTATGTGAAACGAGTTCATTTGTGTAAGTGTGTGCATGCTCCATGAGCCTGACAGCAGAAACATGCTTGCTGGCGTGTTTATAAGCGCGCGTTGATTTCAATTCGCTTTTTGTTAACTACTATTTTCTTAGCATTGTAGTTGTCCAGAAATGCTAAGGTTGTTTTATTGATCTCGTGACGTTTCTGCGATATCTATTTCAAGCCAAAATAAATACATTTTAGCTACCCTGAAAATGCGTCATAGGAAGGCTGGGGTGCAAAGACCACTTTTGAAAACTCCAATGCCTCTTTGTTGTAACGCAAATGTTCTTCTACGCGAGATCCACCAACGAGAGGTGACGGAGAAGGTGGCGGTAGCAAACGAGAAAGGTCGGGTCCTGTGATCACCAACTACATGTATTATCAGTCTTGATGTCTAGCATTCTGCTCGCTATTTTTTTCATGCAAAAAGAAATAAGCGTTGCACAGTATTCATCTGCAATTTTAGCTTGCTGAAGATTTGTTGCGGTAACAAATGAAAGGCAGAAAACGCATATATATTGTTCGTTCTCTTCGGACAAGTGGGAGCGTTTATCGAGAACTGCATACGGTGCTGACAGCTCACGCGAGCCCCTGCGTGTGGATGCTATAGTCATAAACGAACATGAGAGACATCAAATATTACATAAATCCCGTTATGCTTTGATATTACACGAGCATAGAATCGCACTTGGAAGCCAGACACAAAGCTAGGCCACCCATTCTGCTAACCGATAAATTATAAAGTAAAACTCGAAGAAATCATTAGCGTGCATAATTACAATCGTGACTGCAGCAGAAGCTCCTCCCATAATTCGAGGGGTGTCCCTACAGGAAGGTAGGGGCGAGGAGGGGTTCTGACAAGATGTACTAGAACTAGATGCACATAAAATAAGCCCCCCTGCTGACTCTGCCCACGCTGTACCTGCAACCCTCAAATTGCTAGTCCCCAAATGTCACATCCCTGAGAAAAAGCTATTTTATCTCAAGATATGATTTTGATTTCACTAATGCTGGGGCTGTGGAGGGGGTCTCAGGCCATCCGTTAAAATTAGGGGGGGGGGGGGGGGGGGGGGCGGGGGGGGGGGGGTTAGGGAGGTCCGAGACCCTTTGCGACCCCCCAGACTTTAAGCCTTGGCTGCTTTGCTTGCGTACGGCATATCCGCAGTGTGAAGTACGTAACGCTAACGCACAGTGCTTGCGTTTGCTGCCTTAGACCAACATGCGATTCTGACGTCACACCGCTTCACCGCAGGCGAATTTGGTTCCGGCGCAAGCACAGCGTTCACGCACAATGTGGACAACGCTGGCTTGCTTGTAACTAGTGTGTTGATGCACGATGCTAAAACTTTCACCTGACAGCCTTCCAGCGATAAGGTGTAGCACACGAACCAATTATTGAACAAGATCAAAATGTTCACGTAACATTCGACCTACTTCCCATGCAGGAGATGCCACGAGTACGGGTGACGTTCAGCTCCTCGGTCTGGATGTGCCGGCGTACGCCGTTTCGGGAGGAAGCGCCAGGTTGCGCTGCCGCTTCAGGCTCGGGGACTCCCCACTCTACTCCGTCAAGTGGTACAAAGGAACTCGCGAGTTCTTTCGCTACGTCCCGAGCGAGAACCCACCCAAGAAATATTTTATACTGAGCGGGATTCGGGTAAACGTACGTGCATCTATAACAACCTCATTTCATACCTTGTAAATAAAGCTCTGCTCATTCTCTTTTTTATCGTAAATACCAAAAAATCATAATTAACATCCAAGTCGGTTTAAATGGGCGAAAACCAAAAAGCCTCGAAATAAAGCTCTCCCTAATCAAGAAAAACCCAAACTTCAAGAAAAGAAAAATTCTCTACAGTTTCATTTTGTGTTGACGAGGAACACGGCCTTCACTGAACTGTCAGTGAACCTGCTCTTTTCTTTAAAATCTCGTTCTTTGTCTCGTTTCCAAGTTTTTATAAAGCCCTTTTTTGAGTATTTGAGTCACGCGTATGCGTGACCCGAAAACACAAAACCCTCCATATGCATAGTGTTCCTTGTTTTCGGGGTTTATTTCTATTCTTGAATTAAGGGGTTTCATGTTTTATCGGGGCCAATTTTCGCCGTACGAGAAAAAATCATGGTTGAAGAAAGAATAAAACAATTAAAACTGGGGCAACACAACCACACCTTTCAAGAAATCGTTTTCTTTATCGGTGCTCCTGTTGACGAACAAACAACTAGGGCATGCAATTCTCCAAAGTCCAGGGAGCATGCGCGATGGTTCCAATAATTAGAAAACGTCTCTGTACTAATAAGATCAGAAACAAGATAAGTGGTATGATTCCCGAGAAATGGAGCAGCCTCGTGGGCAGTTCAGTGAGGGTGGTGTTCCGGGTATACACCAACTCAGTTCTCTGAAGTCACACCTCGCCGGTGGCGCTGCTGTAGGCACTGCGCTTGCGCAGAAGCTTCACCTCACCCGATTCTGGTTGGGCAAACAAAGGCTTGTTTGTAACTAGTATGTTGGTGTACAGAGAGCATAAAGCTGCAGCTATAAGATCTCTTCTCGTTGAGCTTGGGTTTCTCAGACACCACCTCTATATATATATATATTAATATATACCTAGGTATTCTGTCAAAAGCAATAAAGTTAGGCAGCACTTGCTGGGGTTTACAACGAGCAGCACTTCCAATCGGAATATTATGCACAGTGGCTCATGACAAAGGAATCACGAATGTATAAATGGCTCCTCATCTTCGGTCATGCATCTTTCTTTTCTTTTATTGGAGAGGGGGGGGGGGGAGAGTACCGCATTCTTTTTCTTTAAAACACCGCCACACCTTGTTTGTTTTGTACTTTAAGAATAAACACTACTTAGTAAAAATTGTTTGGACCTAATAGATAATAAATGCCGCACGATTTACATTATGCAAATCTTTAATTCTCAGCTGATCAAGAGAAATCTGCAGTTTTTGTGATTAGAGCAAGCTAATAGGCTAAATACTTTCTTTTTTGCTACTACCTATGAATATAAATTGCGTGCTACACTGCGCTCCCACCACCAAACAAAAAAAAAAACATAATTACCAGCTTCCACGTTTTACCTGCCCTTCACCTGTAGTATTGAAGAGGCATATGCATGCACTCTTAAAGAAGTGCCCACGCGGCTATTACCCCCAAAAGCACGTGGCCAGTCAACCTCTATGAAGCAGGGGATTATCTTCTTTTTCTCTTAAGAGACGAGGGAAATTGTATATTTTCAGCAATACCAGACATCGATGCTTCAAGTTTGCCATGAACCTTTACCTATATGACCCCACGCATGTGTACACCTCCTCCCTAAACCCTTTCTTCCCGCCGTCGCAATTCTCGGAGGGCACCCTCCCTAACAATTGACGTTTTCAGGCCCTATCTTGGCGCATACCTCGTCTTTCTCCAGGAATATAGTTTTTGAGCACCCGCAGTATGGAGCACAAAAAGTAATGAAAACCGACGCAATGGCACAATATCAACGTATTTGTGGGGCTGCCCTTCATTCGCAGTTCACAGAGAATACCCCAAAAGGCGCTCGTTACTAAAAAGCAAATCGAATTTGTGCTTCTGCGTCCATATCCTGTGTTGACAGCCGGCGTTGACTCACTGTGCAGGTTACGGAAAGTGACGAGTCGTCGGTGCTTCTGGAACATCTGGCTTTGCACAACGGGGGAACATACCAATGCGAGGTCTCCACTGACGCTCCTTCCTTTAAAGTTGTGGCCGGCGAAGGGATCCTTAACGTGACAGGTAAAGACGCAGAACTTTCATTTATAAAACCACTCAAATAGGACGAACATGCCGTGCAGCATTCTGGAAAGCATAGGAAGGAAACACATGCAATCACAGGCACTCACGCAAACACATGACAGAATTAAGCATGCACACTAAGGTACTGTACAGTTACTCGTAAAATACACTCTAAAAAAGGGTGTGTTCTTACGCCTTTTGCCCCATTTAGTACACCCCAAAACTTCAGTTCCACGTATAGCACGCTAATGTCGATCTGACGGTACTAACTTTCACGAGGGGCTTGATAACTGTGTGGTACAACTAATTAAAATAGCTAATGTACGTATTACGGACTACAAAAAAAAAAATAAAAAATAACCGGGGTTTTCTTGGCCGTATTGCAAAACCTCTGTGTTTCTTTCAGTGGTCTTTCATACGTACTTTAGTTACTTAATAAGTTATAACTTATATCGCACCCTTATCAAGTCCCTCGTAAAATTTGGGGCCGTCTGTTCGACTTTAGGTTCTCTGTACGTCGAGCTGAAGTTTTGGCGTACATTATATCGGACAAAAGGGTGCAAGGTGATACCATTTTTGTTTAGAGTGTATGGTGCTGTCGCAAGGAACACCCTTATATGTTTAAGGGTGTGAAAATGATGTGAAAACGTGCATTATCGTCAAGCGAGAGCACCCTTTTTCGACGGGTGTTCGCCCTTCAAAAAATGATTTAGCGGAGGTCGTTTTAAACAGTGTGTCAAATAATGTTTGCTTGTACAAATTATCTGTACTTAGAGGTATATTACTTGGAGTTAGATACAATCGGGATTTACGTGATACTGCAGCGCGCTTATCTCCCGCACTGAAGGCCGGGGTCATATCCCGCCACCTTTTGTTGTTGTTCTTTTTCTTTATGTAAGTAGAATATTTTGGAAGGTTGGGGAGCCGTGTAGGCCTGTTTATGCTCAGACTGTATACTTCCAGAACGAACAAGATGAAATGTTCTAGGCTAAAAGGAAAGGCTTAAAAGAAGCCGCACCGCGCGGCGCGGAGTCCGTCTTTCGCCAGCTCTGAATCTTGCTACTACGCCGACATCGATGCCTGCGACGCCCAGTTATAGTATCCTTTATTTTGGCACAAGTACCCCCCATTATATCTTTCGATTATTGAGTTTTCTCCTACCTGATTGTCTGCAATTGATGACCTCCTGGTGGAAGTGCGATGTAGCACTCTATGCCGAAGGTTATTCCTTCGCCCTTGCGTACCCGTCAACAGAGTTCAATTCCAAGACCGGCGAGAAGACCGCTCTCGAGGAACCTGAAACTCTGCCCAGCCGCCGCACCCAGCGAAAGGCTCCTGAATTTGGTCTGCTGCTGGAGACTCCCAAGCAGACGAAGACAACGATGGCCAACCGGTCGCAGACCCCGGCCGCATCTGCCGTCATTCACCTGCCCGTCGCACAACGGACGACTGATTCGTTTCACGATGAACTATGCCAAAACGTCAAAGATTTGATCGAGCCTTACGAACGCGTCGCCCGCAGCAATGGCTGAACCGACGGGCAGCGCCTGTAAAGCGTGTATTTCTCGCTGGAGGAGGCTGCCAGGCATTGGTACGCAAGTCACGAGCCTTCTTTGACATGGCGAGACGTTTTCAAGAACGAGCTGAAGGGAACGCTTGTCAACCAACACCGCCGAGAGAGCCGAAGACCTACTTCCAACCAGAACCTAGGTCCTCAACGAGAGCATAACCAGCTTCGTGGCAGATATCCTGCGTTGAGCGCCCTTGCTGACCTGAAAGCCACAGGCGACGAGACGCTGCGGGTCTTCATGCGCAGAGTGAAAGACATCTTCGGAGGCCTCGTCCGCAGCCCTCCAAAAACAGTCAAAGATATCGTCACCAAGGCCACGAACATCGAGCGTGCCCTGCTAGCCCAAACCAGTCACTACCAGCGATTACCCGGCGTCGCTGCCCTCGGGCTGTCTAACTGCGATCTTGGCTCCAGCATCCCAGGCACTCGCGAGATAATTCGCGACGTTGGCTGGGAAGAGCTCAGGAAGCTCGTGCCTGCTGCCAAGCAATCGGGTTTGCTATCGATAGCCGAAGTTGTCCGCGAGGAGCACACCCTGACCTACGCCGCAGTAGCTCGAAGACCGGCACCAGCTGCGTGACAGTATTCGACACCGCCTCGACGTGAGCTGTGAGCGCCACAGATTTTCCAAAATCGAAAGGGCAGCCCTAGCTCATCCGCACCGAACAACCGGCGCCAAGGAAGACGGATGTGTGGCGCACAGACGATCAACGACCGCTGTGCCATCACTGCGGCGAGGCCGACCACGTCTCGGAGGTGCCCATATCAACAAATGGATCTGCGAGATATTGCGCCGAGCGACCCGCGACCCCACCTTTGAGCCCGGGAACGACCAAGCGACATCGAGGAGCATCTCCGACGAACCAATTCCCTGCTGCCGACTCTACCCCGAGGTTTCTGTTCGCCTTCGCCTCGACGTGCGCTGTCGCCATTTCTCCGGTCTCGTCGGGACAGCCTATCCCCCCTATCTACTGTCGGGAAAACTAAGTGCGGCATCACCTGGACATGGCGTTGCCGAAGACTACCGAAGTAAAGAGCCTTAAAGAACACCGGAGCGCTACCACTCTCCCGACGTCACACATAGGAACGATGCCCCAGCAACGGTGGCCAACAACCTAAATGTAGTTATCGACGGCCACGACGCGTCGGCGCTGGTGGACACCAATGCAGACTACTCAGTGTTGAGTGAGAGGCTCTCTCGCCGCCTCCGAAAAGTCACGACACCCTGGGGTGGGCGAAAAATTTGAACCGCCGGAGGACATGTTTTACGCCGGTCGGAAGGTGCACTGCCACAGTCGAGATTCACGGCGAGACGTGTTCTGTAACATCCGTCGTTCTACAACACTGTGCCTGAGACGTAATTCACGGCACGAACTTTCTAAATACGGCGCCTTCATCGTCCTTGGAGAGAATAGACTGACGCTGCGGACACCTGGTCTGCCTCCAAAGGAACTCCAAACGACGTCAGTCACCGTCCGAGTCGCTGCCGACCACGTGAACCTGACGCCACGATCAAGTGTTCTTGTACCCGTGAACACATCGGGTTATTGTGTTTTAAAGGGGGAGTAATGCCGCGCGCGCGGCTAGCCAACTAGGTGGTGCGCTTAGCTCCCGTTCAAGATTCGAACCCCATCACTGCTTGTCATTTTTTTTCTTTATGTAAGTAGAAGATTTTAAAAGACTCTTGAGCCGTGTAGCTTGTTTATATTCAGACTGTATATATACTCCAAGAAAGGATGAGATAGAATGTTCTAGGCACCCAGGGAAGGCTCAAAAGAAGCCGCGCCGAACGCAGTGAGTGTTTCGCCAACGAATTGACCGTGCTGCTACGCCGACATCGACGCCCAGTTATCGCATCTTTTATTTTAGAATAAGTTCGCCTTCATTCAACCTTTCATTGAGTTTTCTCCTGCCTCGTAGTCTGTCATTCGTGACAATATATGGACTAGAACAAAGCACCAGTTGTAACGTTCTTTAATGCGGAGACGGTGAGACGCAATGCGAATGAATGTCTGAATTGTCAAGTGTACATGTCTATGGAGCAGTCACCAATGCCGTAAATCCTCTCTTATGCTTGATTTACTGAATCTGTATTGGCTGTTTCTGCGCAGGCGAGAATCACACAAGCTGAGTTTTGCTTTTAAACTCGTTGCTCCCAAAAACACTGTCCATAGAGGGTTGCAAAGATTTCTAGCATTACAGGTGTTCGCCAGTAGCCTAAGAGCGTTAGCCGCTGATGAAACCCTTAAAGGGGCACTGACATGCCGAAGGTAGTTTTTTGTTTGTGTCTAAAACGATGCAAGCTGTAGTCATAGACACGCAAACAAAAAATACCACGACGCGAAAAAACATTTCTCCACGCGCGTGCGCACTTTTTTATCTTTGGCGTACTTCTCTCTCTTTCTTCCCACCTCATCGCTTCTTATATTTGTCACGTAGTCGATTATAAAATTTACAAGTTTCGTAAGTGACATTCCTATAATATTTATTAGCGGCATCCGTAGAACATGCTTTTTAACGCAATCGCGAACGCAGTATGGTCCTTCTTTTTGAAATACCGAAAATCGGAATCTGGAGTGTTGTCGCCTCCTGGCGTTTTATCCTCCTAAGGAAAACATGGCGGCGCGGCTGCGCTGGGCACATGTAGCACTGAGGATGATCGGCGAATCGGGGTATCGGAGGAAGTTCTCTTCTTTAGGTGCCCGACGACCTCTCAGACTTCGAAAAGGAAATCGGCAAACGGTCAAAACAACTGGGTCTGGGGTCTGGGTAGCGCAGTCTCGGTTGTGACTCCGCCGGGGCAAATTTCCCCGCAGAACCGGCGCGACGTGGACCCCCACGTCGCTCACAAAAGTCCACTGAGCGTTCTCTTTAACCTCATACCGTTTCAGAGAATATGAGATCGCTGATAGGGCCCTAAAAGAACTTCAAACTCGAAAGTGAAGCGTCGTCTACTCACAGCGATACAGGGCACGCAGAAAAATAGCGGTTGATCGCAGGACGCGGGCGAACACGACACTTTGGGACGGGATGGTTCGGAGGTGTTGAGAGAAGCTCGGTTTGCAGAACGACTCAATCTTTGACGTCACTGCACTGACGCGGATCGCGCGGGAACTCCAAATTCAGCTTATAAAAACTGTTTCTTTCTTTTTTTTTACTTCGCAAATATTGAGTTCCCAGGCTTCGAATTTTGAGGGTAATGTCCAGGCATCGTTTTCAATCGCTTCGGATGATAAAAAAAAACTGTATTGTGTTGACCTGTCAGTGCTCCTCTAAGAGAGTAAATTTTGCGCGTGTAGACCAGAGCTGGCCAATATACTCGAACGTAACTTCAAGATAAGATGTTTTATGTACATTGATTGTCCTAATACCCTTCCTCTCGGCTTCCCCTCAGATTTACCGAAGAAGGGTCCATATATAAGAGACGCCCGGACGCATTACAACATAGGCGACACAGTGGACATCGACTGCGTTTCCCCCTGGTCCAAGCCAGCGGTCAACTTCAATTGGTACCTCAATGCGCTTCCCGCCGAACCTCCCGACTTCGAAATCAGAAACCTTTCAATTTCGCACCACGGCGTCCTCAAGTCTGTCAGCAGACTCCGCCTCAAGGTCAGTGAGGACCAATTTATCAACGGAACACTCTCCACCAAGTGCGTGGCTAAGATTCCCAATGTGTACATGGGGTCCGACGAGAAGGTCGTTCACCAAAGGTCTGATGGCGCAGACGCTACAACGCCAACCAAGAGTGCTGACGACGAGTGCCTTTCCAAGTTGATTTCCGTCTTTAGGAAGGTATGGGCTTCCTATCAGTAAACAAATATACTGCGTTTCACTTTAAGTTCGATAGAAGCCGACGCTACAATCTGATGGAACATTCAAGCAGAGTTAAAAGTGTATTTTCACGGAGCTCGTTGTATTGTGTGTATGCCATCACAAACTGAACCAATCACGCACACAAAAAAAAAGCGCAGGATCGCGGAAAATTTAAATGCGTGTGATCAGTATATCAAACGCACAAGGGCGATGAGTGCCGCACTACTTGATTTGCTCCGTCGGGGCGTAGCATCGGCTGTAGTCTGAATTTAAGTGAAACTCTGTCGCAGCAAATATTGAGTCCGTGTTTGCCAGCTGTCCTCTTCGCTGGAACCGAATAGCGGGTCATCGAATGGTTTACTTCCACCTAAACAAAAACAAAATAAAATATTTTAAAAGGTCGAATTCGTTCTCGTGTCTGGGTTTGAAAATGGTCTAGGTCTCGTCTTAGTGTCGTAAACTTGAAATTGGTCTCAAGAGTGAAACTTGAATTAAACGCGTTGGTCTTCGCAAATTTCTTCATGACGTATGTCTACTCTCTCTCTATATGTTTAGGTACAAAGAACGCAAAGGCAAGCAATAGGAAAATGGGGTCATGACCGCGAGGTTCCTCTCGGGCATTGGCGATTTGGACCAACATTCAATTTTTGGCAGTTATTGGGTGGCGAGCCTATATCCATTCATTGTTATAGTTCTCAGAGATAATATAGTAAGGGTGCAGGCGAGCTCGTGAATGTTAATCATGTTAAATAAACCAGAAACTGGGGCAGAAATTAACATGTAAGTCAAAGAAAACATCCGATTCTCAGCGCACTTCTCTCACGGCTAGTGTGAAATCTAGGCTTCCTACATCTATTAATTTTAGACGTTTAAATTCGATGCCCTGATTTTTGACCGATAGCTTTTTCGAAGCAAAATCCAGTCCCATGGATTCGTCCATAACAACGCCCTTATCAACGGTTTGTTTAGAGCAGTGCCGTCACACTTAAAGTCAACCGTTATATAGCAGGATATTCCATATACATATGACAATATACTATTTCGAAAACCCCATCAAGCAACATTTACTGCCGCCATTTTTCTCCGGCGGAAACCATGTGAATCAGCGTTACTTTAACAAATCATTTAGGAAACTCATCCTTGAAGCCCGAACAACTGGCGTCCACCAAGATCAGACTAGAATAAACTAGATACGATTACAGAGCCGCCATTTAGCTGCAAGTGAAAACATGGAACTTGCTTTATACAGTTATCTTGTAGTTACCGCAAGATGCCGCTGCGGAATGGCGCTACCGGCCCTTTCGCGACTCGATTGGGACCGGTACGTGTAGCCGTGCAGTTCCCGGAGTGGCCAGTGCGGGAGAAAGCGCGGTGTCGTGATCGCGTCTAGTTGGGTTCTCGAGCACAGATTGGGGTCACTTTTTCAAAGCAGGCTCCTATGATGCTTTCCCAACTGAGTTGTTCTAGTAAACTTGACGTGAATGGACCCCAGTTCACGTCGAACACTAATGCAGCACTCGGAGAAGAACGGACAAATCTTGGGCACTGATATCGGCGGTCCCGAGTGGAAAAACAAGAAATTTATTGACAAACGAAAGCATACAAAATTTGTTGCGACGAGTTGAAGTTGCTCGAGCGCTTGTCAACTTTATTTAGTTTCATACAATGCGCGATTCCAGTGGTTTTTCTGCAAAGTAAGGCAGAAAATGACAAGTACAAACCTTAGAGGTGATGTTTTGCTGCTTCTTTGTACATATTAACGCCAGCGGTATGGGCCCAGCCGAACCACCAACTGGGACCGCCGTTGTCCTCATCTACGCCCCGCCGTTCCCAAGTGGCCCCATTGCATGGGACCTTTTCCTCTAGGTTATTATCAACTCTATGTCCAATAGGCACAGCTGAGTTCACAGAGATGTATGACATAACCGTCTTGTCGAATACATGCCCATAGTGCCTGCCCAAAGTATGAAGGCCTCGGGTAATTAGCGCAGTAGCTACTATACTACGTTTTATCACAATTTGGCAAACGGTAAACGCTACATTCCCAGTGAGCCAATATGCATGTTGGAGAGAGGAACGTCACATCATATCATCGGAGTGCTCTCCTTCTGCGGACATCTGTCACATACCTTCGCTCCGTCTCTCCGAGGTTCGAGGGGGCTGTAGCGTTTGCCCTTTGCCAAGTTAGAGTGAAACGATGTATAGGCAGCACACACTTTGGAAAAACAAAAGCATATTAAAGGGAATGGTAGTCAAACATTTTCCTACAAGACTGCTTCTTTGGGCAAGGGACGAAAACAAATACGAGTTATGTTGTCCGGGTAATTAGAACTACTAAGTAATCAACCGAATAAGCCAATAAACTCTCGATGTAAAAAATCAATTATATCTGCAATAAATCCTATAAAAGTGAAAGATGTGCAGTTCATATTGAATCCGCGCGCGCGCAAGCAAAGCACGCGGAAGGCATAAAGTGCGTCAGGAGGCCGGGCGTTCAAAAGACATGCACTGCTGCCCTCGTTCTGTCAGTCGCTATATAGGCCCGTAGCTCTCAAGTTTTGAGCAGCGCTCCAGGCGAGCAAAATAGAATATTTGGCTCGGGTTTCGAACATGCGTCAATACGCTTCCCCACTAGAGTTTTTTTCTACTCCGTTCCAATCTAAGTGCCAGCGTAGCAGAGGCTACAAGAGCGAGCTGCGAGCTTTCAGCGTCCCTGTCAAGCACGCGCGATCGTGCAGTGCGAGCATCTTTCAGGAGGACGTGCTTTTGCGAGTAGCTTCGGCTTCGCTATCACGTTAAGTGAAACATACGTGCTCGCGGAAGCTATGAAAGAAGGCAAAGATGAAAGGCATGTTTAATGGGACGCTGTGGCCGCGAGCTGCATAATTATTTTTTAAATTTTTATTTTTTCGAGGTTTTGTTATCGCATCTTCGGATGCTTGCATTCGAACGTGGCACGTGCAAAATCGAACGTTACATAGCCACCTGGATGGTTCAGCCATCATAACATGTCCGCGTCTTGCGGATGCGCTCGCGCCCCCTGCCCCAGAGCAACGGGTCTATAGCCATAAAAAACGCCACTCCTCAAGCACATAAAAGAAAATGCCCGTGCGTCGTCTCTTTTACGGAACGTCTTTTAAGCCTAGCACAAAGTAGTCAACCAGAGCTGAGACTTCGCTGAAGATATTATACCCTAATTTTAGGAGGCATAGCTTCTACGAAGCTCATTTGTCAGCCACCTCTTGAAGCATGCACGGGTCATTACTTTGGTCTCGAATGTGAAAACCAGATAAGTTTTTTTTTTCTTCGTTGCTGTTGGTGTTTTAATTCATAAAGGTTTTAAGTATCCACTGGTTGCCACGTTCTTGAGATCAGCCCTCGTTTTCCTTGTTCTGCAATCAAAATCTCAATGTGATTGCTGTTCGCATATTTGTTTACCTCGCTCAGTGTTCGCTTACCTATAGAACAGGGCCGATACTTATCCTACTCTTCACAAGAAAAGGCTAGTAAAAAGTCAGTAACTGGAGCATTTACTACATTTTTCTGTTCGTTACTACCTTTCACTAACGATTTACTACCTCAAATGCGCGATAGGTAGTAAAATGATAGTAAATACAGCCGTTACTACCTTTTTACTAGATACTACCCAAACGCTCGGACAAGATGGCGGCATCTGCTGCATCGCCCTACGTTACTGGAGCAAGCTCAGTTTCACAGCTCCGCCTGCGACGTGGGCTCAGCGGCGGTCACGAGAACTAGCAGCGCTGCAGTCGAGCCTTGCTTCCGTATTGTCTATCCCGCCAAGTTTGAATAGCAATACTTGAGCTTGGGCGAGTTGTTGATTCATACTAACACTTCACAGCGCAAGGAAACAGACGCACACAAAAACAAATTTCAAGCACAAAGAACACTCACAATGCGCTGACTGATCTCTGTGGTGTATTACACTTCATCTTCACCATCTTTTTTTTTTTTTTTTTTGCTATTATACACATGGAAGTAAAAAAAGGAAGAAAAGAAAAAGAAAAGAAAGCTCTCAACGCGGTGGTAGCAGACGACGCGTGAGACAGGGAAGCAAGATCCGACTGCAAAGCCGCTAGTTTTTGTGACCGCCACCTGGACCACTCGGCGAAACTGAGCTTACTCCAGTAACGTTGGCATCGCCGACGGCCAGCATTAGCGACGCACCTACTGTTTCGAACCACAGGAGGATGTATCTACACAAGACTTGTGCCTATCTCAAATCCTTTACTCAAGACACTGTAGTTCAAATACTTTTGAAGTATCTTGGTATCTTGCAAATACTTTTGATCGAGAGTATTTGATACTCTATCTTAATTACATTTCTGAGTATCTTGCACTCAATATCTCAAATATATTTCTGACATTCCGCCATTTTCCGAGTTTTTCGGTATGAAGTGGCGTGGGCGTGGCACGAGCAAACGTGAATATTCTTTCGAGCTACCAAATCTTGTTGCTCACTCCGATTAGCTACGGTGACTTTGGTTGAGCTCGTGAAAAAATATCGCTTTTTTTGCCGATTGTGACTCATATTTCATCTCAAAGGTCGTACAATAAAGGTTTTCCCTTCGCCTTCCCAAAGGCGCTTTGTTTCCTAGAGTTTTCCGCGAAAAATCCCCAAACAAAAAGGGGGGTTTTATGAAAGTTAGGATTGCCACACTGAGGCGCAACGCAGACCGAGAAACGACCTACGAAAACAACGCAGACTTGAGTGTCAAGAAAATAACAAAAAAAAAAAAGTGGACAAAAAAAAACATTTTTGTTTTGTTCTATATTTGACCCGGAACGGCAAAACGTCGCGGCTTTGTTTTTTTATTTTCTTTTTGTCGTCAGTCCGTCACTTATTTCTCTCGCGAACACTGTCTGTAAGCGAACATTGATAAGCAGAGAGCCGGACAGGAAACGAACTAAAAGCTGGATAATCTATCAAAATCCCAACAAAGCGTCCCCCAACGCTGAATGCCTTTCTGAACGCAACCTACTTGAAGAAGGTGAGACCACTGCCGTGACTATTATGTAGGTTCTTTTTGTTATCCATTCACTCATATCCGTATCCCAATTTCATTTATAGTGAACTCCACATAATGGGAATATGAATTGTATACTTAAAAGATGCGTCGAAGGTGCGCCGCAGGACGTGATATTCAGCGATGTCACTATAGCTAAATCGACCTCTTCATTTTTGTCGCAGAAATGTCTTGTAACGTGTATCAGTGATATTAGGGAGTTTTCGTAGACCGCGCTGCCCCCTCCGCTAAGCGTTCCGCAACGAAGAAGTCGCTACTGCGCCTGCGCGCCGATAGCCTTGACTGTGAAGTTCCCGCTATCGTAGCGGGTTGCGGAGGGCCTTGCGGGACGGCGAAAACGATCTACGAAAACTCCCT